CCGTCGTAACGCCAAGCGAGGGGCGAGGGATGAGGGATGGGGGTCGGCCCTCGGAATGAGCCGTCTTCGCCGGTATGCCGGATGGATAGGTAGCCGGGGGGAGGGCCGGGGGTTGGCACATAGACACATTCGGCGTGCACATACCGTAGGTTGGTATAGGGTACCAACCGCCCAGGCTCCGATTCCTCACGCCACCATCGCAGCCCATCGGTCCATCTTCGCCCCGCCCTGTCCATCTTTTGCCCCGCCCTATCCGTCCCGCGCCGCCTTACTCCTTGCTACCCAGTCTCCCATCATAGGTACAACCTCGATGCAGTGTGCACACCCTCTCAAGCTCTCAAGCTCTCAGGCTCCCAGACCCCCCTCCACCGCTCGCTCGCTCGAGCCTCGAGATGCGATGCGCTGCGATGCGATGCGATGCGGCGGTGGCGTGGGACTGCAGCGATTAAACGTTCTGGAAACTCTGTTGCCCCTTCCCACTTCCCCACTTCCCCCCTTCTCCCCTCTCCCCGTCACCCTCCTCCCGTCACCTGCGCCTTCAAAGTTCACACTCGTCCACGCGCACGCAAGGCGCGGCCGAGAGAGAGCCGCATTCCGCACTTTTGACATTCCACGTTTCGCGTGTGAGTAGTTTGAACTTTGACATCATATCGGAGCTATCTTTGAAGGGTGAGGGGAGGGGGGAGGCTGCGTTTCCGATCATAACATCTCATCGCGGCCACGAGACGGGCAAAGCCGGACGAGCCGGAGCCGGATGATCTACCTATTATCTTGATACCTATCATCTGCCGATCATAGCGGGAAGATGGGGAAAGATGGGGGGGAGGTGCTATCGATATACGGCACGAGGTATCCCAGGTATCCACTGGCCTTTGCTTGGTCAAGGTACATAAGGTATATACTCGTACATACATAGTCCGCCTCGAATCAAATCACGACGACAGAGATCGTGGACGGGAAATCTTTCGGCCGCACGGCAATGTGCAATGTGTAAAGTGCAAAGTGCACAAAACGAGCCGTATGCCTTGAATCGATTGAATTATAATCGATCGTGATTCGTTGCTATTTGCCCCTCCAGGGCCTCCACCCCGCCACACGACGAATCGGCCGGCATCCGAGGTGCGGTGCGGTTGTGCTGCGGTGCAAAGGTACGTACGTACGTATGTATCGTATGTATGAGGGATAAGGGGGGAGATGCGACGTGACGTGACGACGCTTTACGTGGCGGGCCGCGGCATATCACCCCCGGATCAAGCTCTGCCGAGTCAACATGGATGGATTTCTCAAGAGCATCCCCGGTATGTACCGAGGCATCCCGTAAAACCGAGTGATATCGCAAGCATGCCATCATCTTTCGTCCACCCATCCCATCCCCACCTGTCTGACATCGAAACGAAAATCCTCCAGAGCTTCAGAGCTCCAACTTTGGGGTCGTGATAATCCCTAACCAACCCGGCACCGGCCGATACTCACGTAGATATGAGGTATGTACATGCCCCCACTCTCCACGTTGGTCGGCGGCTCCAGTGTTCGACATAGGGACTGCAGTTTGGACTGGACGGACGGTTAAGATCTGGTCCCGTTCGGCCATTTAGACGGACTGCAGAAACGTAGTGCGTCCACTCCATGGATCTCGTGGACTGGGCGCGGACTGCAGTCCGTCTTGCTTTCAAAAAAAATTGGACTAGGTAGTCCGTCCAAATACTGCCCCGGACGGACTACCAAAATACATTCCAGTCCAGTCCGAGGCTCAGGACGGACGGACTGGACGATGTCGAACACCGGGCCGCGGCTCAGAGAATATTGACATGTCGGGGTTGAGAGGGGAGCCGGAGCGGGGTGAATATTTTTTTGTTTAATCATTGCGAGCGCGGGATGAATAGCAACAATAACGGCTGCAATTGTGGGTGTGTGCGAGTGACAATGCGAGTGACAATGACAGTGGAAGACTGGTGGTAGTGGTGGACTTGCGGGATATCCTCAGACCACGGGGTTAGATAAAACGGGAACGCGAGCGAGTGCGAACGTGTCTGGTGATGGAGGGAGAAGGCCGTCAGACGGGAGGAAAGGACCTTGAAGTGGAAAATTTTGAGTACCGGTTTTCATCTTTCGGATTTCCCCGTTTTTGACGTTCAGTTTTCATCCATCTCCAACATCTCCAGCCCCCAGGTTCAGAACTGTCGGATACCTTGGTTGGTATGGAAGTAGGTACACCATCAAGATCCTCGAGTCCTCGACCCAACCTCAAGGCCACCCCCACCAGTCAATCCCATCCCATCCAATTCTACCCAAGGGCCAATTCCACCCAACCCCATCTAATTCTGCATAATTCTGCATAATTCTGCATAATTCCGCACAATTCCACAAAAAAGATTACCAGTGCTTACGATAGTCCAGTCCAGTCCGTCTTTCCGCAAAAGTCGGACTGGGCTGAAAGGTTCAGTCCGGCAGGAGGCGTGGACTGGACTGGGCAGTCTGCACAACTGGTAGAGCTGGACGGACTGTGGTCGACTGGATGGACTGGTACTTTGAATGGAAAATGTTTGACATACGTAATGACCTTTTTGCACACGTCTATAGTACAGATATTGCAGACCCTCCTCGCACAGTGCATTGAGAATAGTCTCCTTGATATCTCCCTTTGTAGCAGCTACAAGACCATCTCTTTGCTACCTTTTGAGACATTTTAGGGCCTTCAGTGCGTCGTCACGCATGCTTCAGCGACGATATGAGAGTGATTTTAGCCCCACTAAAAACTCGTTCCGGATCTGCTCTTATGGCGGGAATGCTCAAATATTCGAGGGCCTTTCTGGCGAGATCTGAGCGAATAAATCACATAAAACTCGCTGGAAAGATGCCCGCTGGCCACATAGTTCGTGAACCTCGCTAGAAGTTGAACGAGTGATCACTTTTACCACTGAAATAATCTTGTAGGGGAGAGTATGAGAGGAGACGGATTGATATGGGCGGATATGGTATTGGTGGGAGGATATGGGAGGATATGGGCGGATATGGTAATTGTGGGTTGATATGGCAGGATATGGATTGATATGGTATTTGTGGGCGGATATAAGAGAATATGGATTGATATGGTATTCATGGGCGGATTTGGTATTTATGGAGGATATGGGAGGATATGGGCGGATATGGTAATTGTGGGTGGATATGGCAGGATATGGATTGATATGGTATTTGTGGGTGGATATGGTATTTATGGGTGGATATGGTATTTATGGGCGGATATGGTATTCATGGGTGGATATGGGAGGATACGGATTCATATGAGTGGATATGGATTGATATGGGTAGTTCTCTTGTCTTGTCGTGGTTTTACCACAGCTTAGAAAACCTGATTAGGAAGACAACGTTTTCTCTACACCAGGTAATTTGTTGTGCGAATACGGTAATTGTCTGGTAGCCCTCCAGTATTGTAGACAGTGCGTAATATTTTCATTTAGAAGAACTGCAGTAGTTATTCCAGCGGTTTGGTAAGCCTATCTCTACACACCGCATATAATATCTTTCGTTACTGTAGAATTGAGAAATATAGCAAAAAACAAACAAATACCAGAGCAAAAACCTGTATTATCTGAGACTGCTGGATTTATCCGAGCGGTAGTACTACCTACTGGAGACCTGCGGCATCAATCGCATCCTGCTGTTTGCTACCCTACTGTAGGTATCGGTATCGTATTCGTTTTCGACTCGAGCTGAATTGAACAGGTGTTTCCTACTACCTACCATAGTAGCATCCTGATGCTCGTAGCGTGGATTGACATGATCTGGTGTGGGATGAGGTGGCATCTTGGGTGGCATCTTGTGGGATGGCATCTTGTGGGTTGCGGTGTTGCTAGTGCAGTGTGCAGTAGTGTGGTCCTGCTAGACAGACAGTAGCCGGCTATAGTAGATTCATCACCTATCCCGTGCCTCGTGCGTTCTGCTGAACTGGGTGCTGTATGTAGGCTTCCACGTTCCATTCGCAGCCGACATCCCACCACCTCACCCCACCACCACTGATCACTCGACAACTGAGCAACTCAGCGCGGCGATGTGCGGAATACTGGGTTTCTGGAGCATACTCAATGGGTTTAAGCTTGGCGAATGAGAGTATTCTAATCGATGGCTGCCATAGCCTAAATACATAGCCTACATATATTCTCCTGCAACTTGATGTTGATACGGTTTTTTGGAAGGAGCCCAGAAGAATACCGGTATGTACGAACACGCACACGAACACGAGCACGGACACTAGACACGAACACGACACAGGAACTGGTGCCTTCTTGCGTACCATCACCCCCCACAGTTACAGCCTATGTATGTAGCAGCCACTCGTAAACGGTGGGACAATAGTGATAGTTAGTACCGTATAAGGGCATGCAAACACCTACTAGGCATGGGTTGAGAGAATCAGCCTTACAGAAGTGATACCATGGCCCACCTCCGAGCATGCACGCACGACATACCTACCGTACCTCGCGGCTGCTACAAGACTACAATTACGATAATACGAGTGATCTCTCACAGTGGCAGTGGCTGTGACTGTGGTTCGGACACGTGGTATTACTGCAATGATGCGCTCGACGGGCCGACTACATTTTACTTTGATATCACGTAACCGTCCCGAAGCCTGGCGGTCGCCGGTCGGCGATGTGGGTACTGCAGGGTTGTACGGTCCGTTCAAGGGAAAGGAAGGACCTCCTCGGAGTGACTGGGCGGCCGCGGACGGTCGGCGGTCCCCATAGGTGTTCGAGCATTGGGCTAGAGACCGAAGACAGTCCGGCAGAGAGTCTAGACTAGTACATAGAGGGAGACCGGACAACATCACGATTCACGATTCACGATTCACCAGTAAATCACGTTATACTCAAGGCCCTCACAAGCACTCACGTAGTATCATTATTCCCCGTCATCATTCCCAGCATCGTCGTTTCATGGATTATGTGCAAAGAATAACCCCCAATGTCCCCATCATCTCCGCTAAGCTATGTCTTCTCGGCAGCCGCCAAGTATTAGAGCACGCAACTTTTCTTCACATCCCCCACATCATCGTCAAGGTGGGATTTTCTATCGGTGCTTAGTCGATGGCTTGGCCTCGATCGTCATCATCTCGCCTTCGTCGGTCATGAAGTAGTCGTGGAGGAGGGCTTGCTTGGCGGATATGCGGCCGGCAGGGTCGTAGACGAGCATGGCCTGGTTGAAGTTGTTAATGGGTTGTGAGTGCGTACCGGGGGATGGAAGGACAAACGTCGAGAAGGTCAAGACCCGCGGGCTCAAGGTTCGGTACCATCCGCTCGATGTCTACTCGGTCCCACCGTGGAAAGCTGCTCTTGTAGTCGGGGAAGGAGGTCACGCCGGGCCACGTCGTCTCGTCGGGGGTGCCGAGTAGTCTAGTCGTGTCTGTCTGTCAGCTGTCTGCGTTTGCTGCGAGTGAACCAGGACGGTATTGACTACCGGAAGATCTTGAAGATCTCGTCAATCTCCGAGTCGCCGGGGAACAGGGCCTTGCGCGTGCACATCTCGGCAAAGATGCAGCCGACACTCCACATGTCGACACCGGTGCTGTACTGCTTTCCGCCCAGCAGGATCTCGGGGGAACGGTACCACAAGGTCACGACCTATCCATTCCCGCCACGTCAGCACACAAACAAACAAACACAGGGCCATTCACACAACTCACCTCGTGAGTGTAGGTCCTCAACGGCACACCAAACGCCCTCGCCAGACCGAAATCCGCCAACTTCAGATTCCCCTCCTTGTCGATGAGCAGATTCTGGGGCTTGAGATCTCTGTGCAGGATGCGATGCGAATGGCAGTACTTGACACCGCTGACCAGCTGGTTCATGAAGCGCTTGACCATGTCCTCGCCGAGTCCCATCCCCGCCGGTATGGCCTCCATGTACTTCTTGAGATCCAGATCCAAGAACTCGAAGACCAGGTAGACCTTGTGGCCCTCGGCGATGATGTTGAGTAGTTTGACGATGTTGGGGTCGTTCATCTCCTTGAGTAGCGAGATCTCGCGGATCGCGGTGGAGGGGACTCCCTCGTCTTCCGCTTCCAGACGGATCTTCTTCATCGCCACTATTCTATTGTGGTTGTTCAGGTCCTTGGCTTTGTACACAACTCCGTACGTGCCTAGGATGGGGATAGGATGGTTAGCTAAGGGGACGTAGCATGATGGGGGGTGGCGATGGGAACGGGGGGAAGGCAACAGACCTTCACCGATCTTCTCAATCCTCTGGTAGCCGTCCATGGTTGAGCTGTGTGTGAGGATGTGTTTGTCGGTTATGGAAGGTTGTAGGGGGAGGGTGTCGTGTAGCTGAGTAGGAGTGGCGATGAAGCTTCAGCTAGGGAAGCAAGTTTGTGGCGGGAGCCGTGTCGTGTCGTGTCGTGTTGTGGGGATGGCGAGGAAGACGCGAGTTCTACTCTAATATTGCGTCGGGGGGGTCGGAGGCGGCTCGTTTTGATTTTTGCTTGGTTAGGGTTTCTGGTTCTGGGGTTCTTTTTTTCTGATTCCGATGGACGTGTGATGTTGTAGCAAGCAGGAACGGGAAGGGGTTAAGTCAGCTAGGCCAGCATGAGTTCGTTTCCTTTGTTCCTGTCTGATGCCTGTCCGTCTCCGGTGTCTGTCACTGTGAAGTAAAGCAGTGCGGTGGGCGCGTGTGAGGGAGGACGATTGACTGCGAGGAGTGGGAGACGAGGCGGAGCGGGCGGAGCGGGTATCGACGGCGGGGATTGGCGGGGCGGGCGGGTTGAGTTGAGCTGTGTTGGCCGCCGTAGAGTACGTGCTCGGGAAGAACGACGAGCAGCTTTACATCGAGTTATATGTAGCATGTACTCTACGTTACTTCCATGCCCGCCGAGACCACTGACGCTACGATGTGCATGAGTACGTGATCTCCCCGCGTTTCAGCCGCACAAAGACGTGAGGATCCTCCGCATCGACATCGGGCCATTCTTGGAGCCCACGGCCAAAAGCTTCCTTTGACTCGCGAACCGATAACCGCAGAAGACCGATGCCGAGACATGTAATAACCGTAGTACTATACTCTGGACAGACCGGTATCATACAATCCCATCCTTCGAGACTTCCGAAGACTTGTACCCAAGTACCCAGTGCCCACACAATTTGACGGGCCCGTATGAGTGTAAACCGATGGACTTCACTACTGATTGAGTCGCCATGGAAAGCAATTGATTCCATGTAGCCCGCCAAGCTTTCGCAAACCATCCCTTCCCTCTCTCGACCTCCAATCCACAAACCATGGCCACTGCCGTCCCACCTCCGGCACCGGCACCACCACCGCCGCCAATCGATCATGCCCACCACTCCCCACCGCCGCATATCCGCGTGATCCACAAAACACTCCAGAAGTCACTGAGCAACGATGAAATCCCGATCCTCGATTTTTCCGGTGGCGGGGGGATTCCCGAGTACCACCGGAAGCGGCTGAAGCTACACGGCACGATATCAAGGCAGCAGGTGCGGGAGGCTTTTGCACAGTTTACGCGTGCGGCTGGGGCGGGAGAGGAAGAGGGAGTGCAGGGAGAAGAACAACAGGACGGAATCCAGGAGGAAGGGGATGTCGAGATTTGGGAGCATAGCTCTGTGCCTGGTTCGTTCATTACATCAAAGTATTGGTTTGTTACTGACATCTCCAGGCCTCCAACTAATCCCTTCCCTCCTCCCGCTCTCCATCCAGTCCACCCTCCTGACAGCCCTCCTCACCACCTCCCTCAGCGATACTTCCACGCACAAGACCAACCTCCACGCGCACTACACGCTGCCCACACCGTGCAACTTCTTCACGCTCCCATCCACCACCGTCCTCTCCCCCCTCACCTCCATCCACAAGCCGATAACACTTGCCCAAGCCCTCTCCAAAAAGCTCCGCTGGGTGACCCTTGGCGGGCAATACGACTGGACGCTGAAGCAGTACCCCACCGACACGCCCCCGGAGTTCCCCGCAGACGTGGCCGGGCTGGTATCCGGGTGCTTCCCTGAAATAGTCCCGCAGGCGGCGATAGTAAACCTTTATTCCCCCTCGGACACTTTAGCACCGCACAGGGACATCTCCGAGGCGTCGGGCGCGGGGCTGGTGAGCGTTAGCATCGGGTGCGCGGGGATATTCGTTATCGGCTGCGATGGGGAAGAGGAGGGTGAGGTGTTGGCTGTAAGGCTGAACTCGGGGGATGCGGTGGTGATGGCGGGAGCAGTCGGTGGGCGTGGCATAGTGTTCCGAAGATTCTGGCGGGGACATGTCCCGTGGGGCTGGAGCAATGGGATGGCGGGAGTGACAGCTGGAAGGGATGGATGAGAGGGAAGAGGGTTAACCTCAATGTCAGGCAGATGTGGGGTTAACTAGCACTGAGCAGGGGGAATAACCTGTTTACTTGCTATGCACCAAGTTTCGAGGGAAGGCCGTGTACCGAGACGTATTACGGTATCTACTGCCCGTTTGCGTGTTGGCCGGCCTGCGATACTCCTCCGTATCCCGATGCTGTGGAGTGAGAAGCTAAGTGTGCGCGGCAAACACGCGTTCGCTGGCGAGTGGGGGTGGCTGCGGGGCGGCGATACAAAATTCTAGGAGTGTGCCTTAGATGCTGGAGGAGGAGGAGGAGCAGCCCTGCACAGCCTCATGGCGGATGCAACATCAAATACATATAATATCTTGGACGTGTACCCTCTCTTTCTCCACTCTATTTGTACCTTCACGCCCTCCATTCTGTCTTACCCTCCCCTCTCCCCTAGCGAGTCTTTTCAGCTTTCTGGAGATGCGACAACTTGAACTTGAACTTCTGACTTCCAAGACTCCAAGTTCCCACGCAACCGGACTCTGAACGATCGCCATCCCCAGAAATAGAAGCGCACTATCATCCCTGCCTTAACTAGCCTCTGGCGCATGGTGGAGGCGGACCAGGAACTGAGCCACTACTCTACATAACTAATCATCGGAGGTCGATACCGCCGACACCTGCCTGGACAACCGCTTAAGACGCCTGAATCCAACGTACCGGTGGAAAGTGCACCGAGTGCCCCAGAGATACAACGACCGACGGCGATACTCCAAACGCACGACGAGAATTTGCAGAACGAATAGCAGCCATGCCGCTCGACGAGAACTTCCCGAGTGAGTGCGCTCCCGCTTCTCATAGTGTGCTCTGGCTAACGATCTCCAAGCCTACCAGTTCGCCATCCCTGACGCGACGAACCAGCCCACAATTACCACCGTCCACTTCACCATCTCTGGCGCCGTCCCGCAGCACCTCTACACCCTGACCCGCTTCCTGCAACCAGCGAATTCCTACAGCATCTCGCTGACCGACGCCCCGTTCCCGGACATAACCTACGGCTCGCTGTCTCTCCCGCTTCTCCCGAGCACCGTCAACCCCAATGAACTCCAGCGCCCCTCCTCGTTCACTCTCCAGCTCTACTCCCCGGACTCCACCGTGACGATCACCCAGAAACACACCGCCCTGACGCGCAACAACTTCTGGGAATTCACACTGCCCAAGTCCTCGTTCCTGCCACCGACGCAGTCGGCGCTGGACGCCTCGTACCGCCCGCCGGTGTCGGAGACACTCACGTTCCGGTGGCGCAAGGAGGGGATCAACATGCTTACGCGCAGCCAGCTGAAGTGCTCTCTGGTCTCCGGCGGGGACGAGCCGGACACGGTGCTAGCGATGTACAGCGGTGTCGGCGACAAGAACGGCAAGGGCGAGCTGGTGGTGTACGAGAGCAATTTCCGGCGCGTGGAGATGCAGGATCTCAAGGGGCTGGAGATGGTCCTGCTGCTGAGCTCCCGCGTCGTGGCCGACGTGTGGTTCAGCGGCTCGAGCGCTATATTCAACACTACACAACGCGTAGGCACGGGAATGGGCGGACCCGCCCCGCCCCCGCCAGCGTACGAACCCCCGGCCGCCTCCTCCGCTGGCACGTTCGCCGAACGCTTCAACAGCCAGGTATACCCGCCCGACAAACCCAAGGCCGCTCCCGTTTCACCCACCACCAGCCCAACACAACAGTCGGCGCCCATGCAGCAGCCCGCTCCCAAGCCCCAGCCCGCCGAGATGCCCACGCCCGCCCCAAGGCAACGACCCGCTGCACGGCAACCCCCCACCTCACCGGCACTAACCCAACGGCCCGCCGCGCGGCACCACCCAACAGCAAGACCACACACGACCGCGCGGCCCTTGCGGGCGCAACCCGCCTCGTCACAAGCGCCCGTGGAAGAAAAGATCGTGCCAACGCTCGAGGACCTCACAGCGCGACAGCGGATCGCCGACGAGCAAGCCGAGATCCGGCGGATGCTTGCGGACGAGGAGCGCGCGGCTGCGCACCGCCAGGCCGCTATCGACGCCGAGACCGAGCGCCTCAAGCGGCTGTATGAGCAGGAGGCGTTGGCGGAGGCGAGGGCGCGGCAGCAGCAGGGGCAGCAGCAACAGCAGGTGCAAAGACCGCATACCCAGCCGGGGCAGGCGCCGATGAGTCCGAGAAGGCCGCTGCAGCAGCAGAATCTACAGCAGCATAATCTGCAGCAGCACCACAAACAGCAGTATATTCCCCCTCCACTTCCAATTCCAAATCCGAACCGTGTTCCGAACCCGAAACCGCAGGCGCTAAAGTATTATCCGTCGCATAGAAACAGCAGTGGCAACATCAACAACAGCAGGCCGCCGATTGTCGGCGGCGCGGGCGGCTGGCATTCCGCCCCGCCGCAGTCACAGCCGGGACTCATCAATGCCGGAGTCGTCCCCAGTAGTGGGAAGCGGCTCGATGATAAGAGCCGAAGGAAAAGTTTCTTTGGGTTGAATTTTGGGGGTGGGGAGGCGGCGAGGGAGAAGGAGCGGGAGAAGGAGAGGGAGAAGGAGAGGGAAAGGGAGAAGGAGCGGGAGAAGGATCGGGAAAAGGAAAGAGAAAAGGAGAGAGTGAAGGAGCGGGAACGGGAGAAGGAACGGGGAGAAGGAGAGGGTGAAGGAGAGGGAGCGGGAAAAGGAGCGGGAAAAGGAAAGGCTGAAGGAGCTGGAGAAGGAGAAACAGAAGAATAAGGGCAAGGGAAAACTTTCAAAGAAGGGGAGTCGGATGTGGTAAAGACCTACTTGGAATGGGTCGGGAGGAATGGGAATGGCGTTTTGGGGAGTTTGCGTTGCTTTTATACCTGGGTGCGTACGTTTTGGAGGGAGATAACTAAGATTGAAATAGTTTGATGATGTGATGATGTGATGATCATGGGGAATAGGTACATACACTTTGGACGGCGGGAATGAAAGAGTACTTAGCGATAGTATCTACATGTTTGCCGGGTGATATTCGCAACAATAGAGGAGTGTTCTTGCAGTTTGCTTGCTCCACCGACTGGCGTTTTGTATTCCAAACAAGTGTGGCGTTAGTGGCAGAGGAGGTGAAGGACAACGCCGCACGACTGAGATATCGTGTCAAGTGGTCACCGTTCCGTTCAGTTCGGAGTACGCCGTGTATTCATGCTCTCTATTAGGAAAAGGAGATCTAGATTCTAGCCGATATATCACCATTTCCATCGCCACATATACGTAAAAGAAACTACATACATATTCAAAGCCAGCAAAATCAAAACAGTTCCCAACTCCCGACTCCCAAATCCCTCATACCCATACATTAGTCCCATTGATCATGCAAAACCCATCACCTACAGTCTCCATCACTATCACTCATCTGCTCCATTCACATCCACCCCATTCACCGTCATCTCATCCCCCTTCTCCGCCACCGTCCCAGCCGTCAACTCCTCAAAAACCCTGCCCAGCACTTCCCTAGCACCAAACAAATTCCTAACCCTAAGCCTCTCATTATCCAGATGCGCCATATCGGACGCCTGACCACACGGCAGATGCGCAGCCGGCGCTCCAAACTCCTCTTCGAGGAATCTCGCGGCGGGGATCGATCCACCCTCGCGGATAAACAGTGGCTGTGCGCCCCACACGTGCGTTATTGCGCGCTGCAGTGAGCAGAACGCCGAGTTGGTGAAGTCGCCCAGCCACGCTTCGGCGCTGTGCGATATGTCGATTGAGAGGTTGTTGCTGCCTGGGTAGGAGGACGTGAGGTATGAGCGGAGAGAGGAGGTCACGCCCGAGACGGATTGATCCGGGACGATGCGCAGGGAGATAGTCGCGGACGCGGACCGTGGGATCAGCGTGCTGTTGTTGCTGGGGCCGGACACGTCGACACGGTGGATGGTCAGCGAGGGGTACCGCCATTTCGACATCAGGTGGTCGGTGATTTCTTGGTGGGGCAGGCCGTGGAAGGGCGATGTCGGGTTGGCGTGGAGCGAGGCCGAGATGGGCAGGTACATTCGCTCCTCGGCGGGGGATAGAGGCCGGATGGGGGCGTTGAAGTCGGGGAGGAGGATCTCGCCAGTGGGGGAGGTGAGGTGGCTGAGGAGGGTGATCAGCTCGATGGTTGGCTCGCGGTTGAGCGAGCTGCCGTCGACGCCGGAGTGCAGGTCCGGCTTTTCGGACTGGATGGTAATCGTGGCGTGAATGACTCCTCTAAGGCCATAGGTGAGGCAGGGTGTATCATCGTCGAGCCAGTACGAGTTGGCGAACACGATCCAGTCGACATTGCCGATCAGGTCTTTGTGTTTCCTGACAGTATCTTTGAATCCTCTCGATCCCGACTCCTCCTCGCCCTCGATCAGGAAGACGATGTCACTCTCCAATTTCCCCGACTGCAGCAGTTCCCCGGCGGCAAACAGCGCAGCCAGACACGGTCCCTTGTTGTCGCTCACTCCACGGCCGTAGAGGTAGCCATCGACGCCTGTGAGCGTGAAGGGATCCGTTTTCCAACCCGAGCCCTCGGCGCTGGCCGGAATAACATCGTAATGTCCGTAGAACAGCAGGGTCTTCCCCTTCTCCGCCTTCCTGTTCGCACCCTCAAACCTTGCAAACACCACCGGATTGCGACCGTCCTCCGTCGGCAGCAGCGACGCGGCAGCTCCAAGTCGTTTACACAGACTCTTCAGAAACGTCGCACCCCTCCGACACTCCTCAGCGCAGCTAGGATCCGAGCTCACCGTCCGGAGCGCCACCAGCTTCGCCAGCGAACTGAGCAACTCGCCCTCACCCTCGCCGCGCTCCTCCTTGCCCCCCTCCTTCGCCGGAAACGGCTCGACGTCCCACACGCCGACACAATCGTCATTTCCACCGGTGATGTACAGCAGCCTCCCGTTCTTCTCGGTCACCGCACTGGCCAGCACCAGCCCCTCGTGCGCCCGCCACCTACTCACACACTCAAATCTCATATTCCACTTCCGCGTGAACCCGCTCGCGCTGCCGGAGAAGATACACTCCCCCTTCACCGCCAGCGTAAGCACGTCGTCGCAGTGCGCCTGCACACTCCTGACCTTCTGGCAGGTGTCCAGATCCCAAATATGTATTTCGCCGTCCGTAAGACCCGTGTAGCAGCGTATCCTTCACAACCATACTCAGCACGCCCGAGTCGCCACCAGCGAGCGTGCGCAGCTCCGAGATCCCACCAGTGATCGGATCAATCGCCCACAACTTAACATCCCCGTCGCCCGCCCGCCGTGAGCAGGAGCGACCCGGCGCCCAGCCCGATCTGCGCGGCAGGGAGGACCTGCATGCAGTAGACGTACCCAAAATGCGCGTACTGGACGATATTCGCGGGCTCGATCTCGAGCAGGGTCTTTCCGCGGGCACCCTCCTCTGCCGCTGGATCCTCGGCCTCATCCTCCTCCTCGTCGGGCCGGGGCGTGCACCTCCCGCCGGGCCCCTTCGAGTCGAAGAAGCGGTGCACGCGCTTGCTCGGATGGGCCTCGCCAGACACGGATTTTGCGCCGGCGGCGCCGGCGCCGCGCAGGTCGATCCACTGCACGGATGTGTTCTGTGCGCCGAAGTACGCTGTCCGCGAGGACACCGAGTACGCTACGCAGAAGACGTCGCCCACGTCGAATGTCGAATAGATCGTGTACAGGTTCGTGAATGTGCGCGGACACCACACTTGCACGATCGCATCGCCGGCGGAGGAGAAGAGGAGTTCGCCCTCGCCGGAGGAGGAGGGGCTGGAGGAGAGGTGTAGCGACAGCACGCTGCCAGAGTGCCCGCGTAGTGTGGCTACTAGGGAGTACGTCGCCAGCGACCACACCAGCACCGAGCCCGACTGCGAGCCCGCGAAGATGTGCGTGCTGTTGAGGGCAAGCGAGAGGATGCTGCGCGT